CTGGCAGAGGCTGTTGCTCCTGGTGCCCACCCAACGTACACATCTGTGACCATCCCAGAGCTCTTCCCGAGCGAGGCACTGCCAGCTCCTCCCAGCGCCCTGCCCCTGGCTCCTGGCACTACTCCTCGCAGCCAATCCACTCCCTCACCTTCACCACGGCTTTGGACCACTGCCAGCATCCCCAAGACCACTGCACGGCCCGTGCTGGCCATGCCCCCCACGACACCCCCCACTGCAGCCAGCCTTGCCACATCTCCCTTTGGTGAATCTGGCAGCGCAGATGGGAGCGGCGACGAGGAGCTGAGTGGGGACCAAGAGGCCAGTGGGGGAGGCTCTGGGGGTGAGCAGGGGCTCAGGGACCTGGGAGCAGGGCTCTGTCTGGAGCCAGGCTCAGACTGTGCTTCCCCAGGACTCGAGCCCCCTGAGGGTAGCATTGTGGTGACCCCTGGGCCACCCATCGAGAGAGCTTCCTGCTACAACTCGCCTTTGGGCTGCTGCTCGGATGGCAAGACACCCTCAGTGGATACAGAGGGCTCCAACTGTCCTGGTGAGTGGGCGGCCGGGGGCAGGGTCCAGCCTGAGGAGCAGCCTGGACACTCCAGGGGTGCTGTCCCCACCCCGGGCAGCAGGTCGGTACTAGGGTTTAAGGTCTTCTGGCTCTGGCACATGCGTGTGTGGTCTGGGGGATTCAGCACACACGTGCACATGTGTGGTCTCAACCCCTGCACACCTGTAGGTGCCCAGGGCCCTGTGCCTAACCCATCTCTCTCGTTGCAAGCCGGCCTGGGGCACTGTTCCGAGGAGTCCGTCTGGTAACTCACGCCAGCCCTGCCCTGGGGCCCCACTAACCTCATGACCATCTGACTAACATCCACCTGCTCCTGTGCCCCGCGTGGCTTGCTGCTTGGGGCGGGTGCCAGGCAGGGCCTCACTGCCCCTCCCCCACAGCCACCAAGGCGTTCCAGGGTGTGCTGGAGCTCGAGGGGGTCGAGGGGCAGGACCTGTTCTACACACCAGAGATGGCTGACCCCAAGTCAGAGCTGTTTGGGGAGACTGCCAGGAGCATCGAGAGCGCGGTAGGTGGGGCCCTGTGGGATGGATGCTCCCACCCAACCACAGGCCTTCTGGCGCAGCCCGGGGGCTAGAGAAGGGGGATGGCGACAGCTTCAACCAGGCCTGGCTTGTCCTCACCGGTCTGTACCTTCTCGCCCACAGCTGGATGACCTTTTCCGCAATTCAGACGTCAAGAAGGATTTTCGGAGTGTCCGCCTGAGGGACCTGGGGCCTGGCAGATCGGTCCGTGCCATTGTGGATGTGCACTTTGATCCCTGTGAGTCCCCACACCCCAAGTACCTCCCAGGAGGCAGTGGGCAGAGGGCTGCTTAGGGCTCTACCATGATTTGTGCCCTCTGCCCCCAGCCACAACCTTCAGGGCTCCCGATGTGGGCCGGGCCCTGCTCCGGCAGATACAGGCATCCAGGCGCCGGTCCCTGGGGGTGAGGCGGCCGCTTCAGGAGCACGTGCGGTTCATGGACTTCGGTGAGCCCCCAGTGAGGCCATGTGCTTGCCTGTTCCCTCCCCTGCCCCCAGACCTGACAGCCCCACCCTCCCCCCGCCTGCCCTGTGCCCTACAGACCCTAATGGCTTCTCTTACCCTTAGACTGGTTTCCTGAATTCTTCACGGGAGCCACAACAGGAGCTACCGCAGCCCTGGCCACAGCCAGAGCCACCACTGTGTCCCGCCTGCCCTCTGCTGTGACCCCTCGGGCCCTGTATCCCAGTCCCACAAGCCGCCCCATTGGCAGGACCACAGCACTCCCCACCACACGTCGACCGCCCACTACTGCCCCCAGCCGGGTGCCTGGACGCCGGCCTCTGCCCCTAGGCCCTCAGCAGTCTTCAAGACCCTGCGACTCCCAGCCCTGCCTCCATGGGGGCACCTGTCAGGATCAGGGCAGGGATTTCACCTGTAGCTGCCCCGAGGGCAGGGGAGGCGTAGTCTGTGAGAAAGGTAAGGGGCTTTCACTGTGGGCCGGGGCCAGGAGGAGCGGGGGCAGGGCCTAGCTACCGTCAGGGGTCAGGGTTGGGGTCGGGCAGGACTGGGATCAGGGCTTTCAGCATGGTCCTTGCTACTCCTCCAGCCAGGCCTGTCCTTTCTCCCCTTGCAGCGTCACTCCCCTCTGTGCCAGCTTTTGGGGGCCACTCCTTCATGGCCTTCCCCACCCTCCGAGCCTACCACACACTGCGCCTGGCGCTGGAATTCCGGACCCTGGAGCCTCAGGGGCTGCTGCTGTACAACGGCAATGCCCGGGGCAAGGACTTCCTGGCCCTGGCACTGCTGGGCAGCCACGTGCAGCTCAGGTAGGCGGGAGTAGGGTAGGCGTGAGGTAGCGCAGGGCAGGGCTAGCCCAGGCGGAGGCCAGCCTTCCTGAACACCTGCTCCCACCCCTAGGTTTGACACAGGGTCTGGGCCCGCGGTGCTGACCAGCTCAGTGTCCGTAGAGCCTGGCCGGTGGCACCGCCTGGAACTGTCACGGCATTGGCGCCGGGGTTCACTCTCAGTGGATGGTGAGACCCCCGTTCTGGGCGAGAGCCCCAGTGGCACTGATGGCCTCAATCTGGACACAGACCTCTTTGTGGGTGGCGTCCCAGAGGACCAGGCAGCCGTGTGAGCACCAAGGAGGGTGGTGCCGCCATGACCTTAGTCCTACCCAGCCTTGACCCTGATCTGACTCTCGTGGGTGGCATCCAGAGAGCTCAGGCTACCTGTGACTGGCAAAGGGGATGGGGGCGGGGGTGTGTGAACATAGCTGTGATTGGGACTTCGACCCCAGCCCCTGGTCCTCCACCTGTTCCTGACCTAATCCTGTCCTTTCTGTGTGTGGCATCCTAGAGGTCTGGTAGTCTGCTGTGTGACCCTGGGATGAGCTGACCCTGACCTTCATTCCTAGCCCTTGACCTTCCACCCCACTTCCTGATTCTGTTCTGTTTATGGGGACAGCTATCTTGTGACCACCAAAAACGGGGATGGGAATGGGGAACAGGCCTGACCCGTAACCCTCACTTACTGGGTGATGCATGTTATCACTGACTGTGACAAGATGGTCCTGGCCTCTGGCCTCTGATCCCTGACCCTCTTCCTGGTGGCAGGGTGCTCGAGCGGACTGCTGTGGGCGTTGGTTTGAAGGGCTGCATCCGCCTGCTGGATGTCAACAACCAGCGGCTGGAGCTCAGCAGCTGGCAGGGTGCCGCATCCCGAAGCTCCAATGTGGGCGAGTGTGGGGACCACCCCTGCCTGCCCAACCCATGCCATGGCGGGGCCCCATGCCAGGCGCTGGAGGCCAGCATGTTCCACTGTCAGTGCCCACCCGGCCGCTTTGGTGAGGCCAGGGCCAGGCCCGGTGTGGGGGTGGGAAACTGTCTGGGGGAAGGGTCTTACGCCTCTCGGGACCCCTGTCCCATTTCCTCCAGGCCCGACCTGTGCTGATGAGCAGAGTCCTTGCCAACCAAACCCCTGCCATGGGGCAGCCCCCTGCCACATACTGCCCGAGGGCAGGGCCAAGTGTGAATGCCCTCCAGGACGTGGGGGTGCCCTCTGCCAGACAGGTGGGAGCATGGGATCTGAGGGCAGGAGGTGAGGGCAGGGTCAGATGTTCAGGTTGGGTCGTGGTCTAAGTTTGGGGCTGGGGTTTGGGTTCTAGTGAGGGTTGAAGTTCAGTCAGTGTTAGGTTTTGAGTTAGGTTGGGTGTGGGATAGCAGGACTTTGGGGGTGCAGGAGACCCATGTGGTCAGGGCCTGGGGCCCCATGTGATCCCTGTTCATTCCTCCACAGCCTCAGAGCCGGATGATACGCGACCCTTCTTGGCTGACTTCAATGGCTTTTCCTACTTGGAGCTGAAAGGCTTACACACCTTTGAGAGGGACTTGGGGTCAGTAGGTGGAACAGGGGAGGGAACCAGCCCCCTGAGCACCATTCACGGTATAGAGAGGAGACAGTGAGTTGCCTCCATCTGACTCTAGGGAGAAGATGGCGCTGGAGGTGGTGTTCCTGGCTCGTGGCCCTAGCGGCTTGCTCCTCTATAATGGGCAGAAGACAGATGGCAAGGGGGACTTTGTGTCACTGGCACTGCACGACCGTCGCCTGGAATTCCGCTATGACCTTGGCAAGGGGGCAGCAGTCATTAGGTGGGCAAATGTGGGTGATTTGTACAGGCTGAGCAAGGCCCTGGCCTGGGCTGCCCAAAGCTTGTTTCTGTAGGACCACCCACACTGATCACCGGAAGGACCCTGCTGGGGTGGGTATGGGTATGAGGCTGGGAGCTCATGGCAGTGGTACTGGCAGCCCTGGGCAGGCAGGCAGAATCTAGCACCTATCTGTGGTACCCATTCCTCACTAGGAGCAAGGAGCTGGTGGCCCTGGGCACCTGGACCAGGGTCTCACTGGAGCGAAATGGCCGCAAGGGTGCCATGCGTGTTGGTGATGGGCCCCGTGTGCTGGGGGAGTCCCCGGTGAGTGCCCCAGGGCCTTGAGGCGGGGGCACGGGTGGGCCTTTCCCAGACCTCCTCCTGCTGCCTCCCTCCCTCCTCCTCCTGGGGGGGCTTGGCAGCCCCCCCCCCTTGGCCGGCTCTCACTGAACTGTTTTCTCTCCACCTGTCCTGCGCCTCTTCTGTCGTCTCCTCTTTCTGCCCCCACTGCTCTTGGCTCTTGCTCTGCAATCCCCTACCCGCTCTCCGGATGTCAGAAATCCCGAAAGGTACTGTCGCCCTCTCACCCAGCTCATCGTCACCTGCCTCCATCCCTAGAGTAGCTCCTCTCCCCACTAAGGACCCAACCATCTGCCATTTCTGTGTCATTAACGCTGCCTCTTAGATAGGCTGGGGTTGGGGCGGGGTGTTGAGGTATCATGGCTGGTCGGGGTGCTCCTGGTCTGGGACTCAGCGTGTCCCTGCCCAGTGGGCAGGCTCTGCTCAACCCATTAACCTGGCACCTCCCCACAGGTGCCCCACACCATCCTCAACCTGAAGGAGCCGCTATATGTCGGGGGGGCCCCTGACTTCAGCAAGCTGGCCCGGGCAGCCATGGTGTCCTCAGGCTTTGACGGCGCCATCCAGCTGGTGCGTGGGGTGGGGTGGGATGGAGTGGTAGAGTCCCAGTGAAGGGCCCATCATGGGGGCGGTCTCAGTTCTCAGGTGAGGGCTGCCACAGCAGGGAGGTCAGCACGCAGGATAGAGGCTCTCTGTGCCCCTCCCCTCCCCCTGCAGGTCTCCCTGAGCGGACGCCAGCTCTTGACCCAGGAGCATGTGCTGCGGGCAGTGGACGTCTCATCCTTTATGGACCACCCTTGTACCCGGGTCTCAGGCCACCCCTGCCTCAACGGGGCCTCATGTCTCCCGAGAGAGGCCACCTACGAGTGCCTGTGTCCCGGGGGCTTCTCGGGGCTGCACTGCGAGAAGGGTAAGTGTGGATAGCACAGGACCAGGGCTAGATGGGGCCCGGAGACCCTGCTGGAGGCCTGTCCTGACTCAGCACCCCTGCCTCCACACTTGTCTTACAGGGCTGGTTGAGAAGTCGGCAGGAGACCTAGACACACTGGCCTTCGATGGAAAGACCTACGTCGAGTACCTCAATGCCGTGACTGAGAGGTTAGGGTTAGGGTTAGGGTTATGCTTAGGGAGCCAGGCGTCCCCTCTGCTCCCTGCTCCTGTCTGCAAGCCATGCAGGGTGGGACGCCAGATTCTCCATACTCATTCTTGGCTCTGTGGCCAAGATGGGATGGCCCAGCATCCAGCCCACCTTCCTTCCTTCTCACTGTCTCTGTTTCTTTGTTTCCAAGCGAACTGACCAATGAGATCCCAGCGTAAGTAACATCTTAGCCCCCACCTGCACCTTCATATTCACACTTACCCATTCTCTGGTCCCCATCCCCACTGAAGGCAGACCGTTTCATCCTGGATGGAGGACGGGGGTGGGGAACTGTGATGTACAGGGTTCAGTTTCCTGCCTTGTAAGTGGGGAGTCAGCCCTTCCCAGGACACGCGCCCAGGGCTGGTCACTCCACCAACCCCGGCAGCTGCTGCCTTTGCCTCAAGGCACCAGCATGTGTGTACACATGTGTACATGCACCTGCATGCTCGTTTGCATGTATGCTCGTGCATTTCAGGTGTGTCTGAAAACATGTATGCATTTCTCGGTGTATGTGTGTTTTGTGTGTACATGTGTAAATGCCCGTGTGTGTCCATGTGCACATACGTGCATGTAAGCATGTGTGTGTTGGGGCATCCAGGGGCCGCTTCCAGGCAGGTGAACCCTTCTCCATTCTGTACCCCATGCCTCACTCTCTGGCATCGTAGCTAGGCTGGGCCACACCCACCAGCTGTGTGTCTGCACATGTGTGTTGCAGGTGTGGCATGGACAGAGCCCTTTGGTGAGTGGGGCCAATGATTCCCCAGGATTGTGTGTGTGTCTTCCATGGATGCTTACTCCTCCCACTGTCCAGCGTTGAAAAGGGGACATGGGGAAGGGCCAAGCAATAGTAGCAGCTTTTCCCCACCCTAAACTCTAGCCTGTCTGTCCCCTGCTTACATGCCTCCCTCTCTTCCTGCTTCTAAGCCCCGAAACTCTGGATTCCGGGGCCCCTCACAGGTGAGCATGTGGCAGTGCCTAAGAGACCCCAGGCTGGCCCGTCACTTGTCTGCCCATCTCTCTCCTCACCGCTCTCTAATTGTCTCTCTGCTGAGCTGCCCCTCTGTCCGTCTCTCCTCTCCATCTGCCCACCTGCCCTGGGCCCCATCACCAGCCCAATGGCCTCCACAGTCATGGCCCTTGCCCTCCTGCTTCCATACCCTGTGCCCTGTCGCCATCCTGGAGGACCTGACTCGCCCCTCTGCCCTCCAGTGAGAAGGCGCTGCAGAGCAATCACTTTGAGTTGAGCCTGCGCACCGAGGCCACACAGGGGCTAGTGCTATGGATTGGCAAGGCCACAGAGCGGGCGGACTATGTGGCGCTGGCCATCGTGGACGGGCGCCTGCAGCTGAGCTACGACCTGGGCTCCCAGCCCGTGGTGCTGCGCTCTACTGTGCCGGTCAACACCAACCGCTGGTTGCGGGTCAGGGCACACAGGTCAGCAGGGAGCCCAGGGCATGCCAAGAATAACAGCGGGTGGTGCCCGAACTTGCCCAGCTGGATTGTGCCCGGTCCCTCGTGGCTGAGCAGGGGTTAGGGAGGACAGGCTCGACTGCCTGACCTGAAGTCACTGCCAGTGGGGAGGAAGAGGGACCAGGAGGTGTAAGACAAGCAGCTCTGGCCAGGGGATTCCTAATCTAAGAGGCAGTCTGTCTGGATGCCAGTGGGATATGTCCCTCTTGTATGAACCTGGCTGTCACCTCCAGCAAAGCTTGCTCTGCATGAAATCCCCTGACCTGGCCACCAGGTCCCACCCAGTCCTAGCCTGACACTTTGACATCCTCAGAGTATGACACCTGCAAGGCATGGGGGTGGAAGGGATGTGGAGTCAAGGCCTGGAGGCAAAGAGGGCCCTCAGGAGCCCCCTGACCATCTCACCACTCCCTGTACGTCTAGGGAGCAGAGAGAAGGTTCCCTTCAGGTGGGCAACGAGGCCCCCGTGACTGGCTCCTCACCACTGGGTGCCACACAGTTGGACACAGATGGAGCCCTGTGGCTCGGTGAGTGTTTGGGGGAGGCCAGGGGAGGGAGCGCCCAAGGGTGTCAGGACATCTGAGGGACAGACTCCATCTACCAGGGCTGGCACCTAAATCCGTCCCATCATCACGGCAGATGGGCTGGTGGGACGGGGCTCTGTGCTCTCACCTAAGCGCAGGCAGTTCTCACGCTGTGAGGCCAGGAGGTTAGAACAGGTGTGGGTCCACCTGCTGGTCACCTAGTCCCCCAGATACCGATGGGCCCCAGGGAACTCACCTGTGGTTCGGATGCTGGTGGGTCCCTTTGCTCATCAGCTTCACTAAGTCACAGTTGGGTGACTTCCTGCTGTCTGTCCTACAGGGGGCCTGCAGAAGCTGCCCGTGGGCCAGACCCTGCCCAAGGCCTATGGCACAGGCTTCGTGGGCTGCCTGCGGGACGTGGTGGTAGGCCAGCGTCCACTGCACTTGCTGGAGGATGCTGTCACCAAACCAGAGCTGCGGCCCTGCACCACCCCATGAGTCACTCCAGAGCCCACATCCACCCTGCTGTAATTATTTTCTATTTTTGTAAACTTGTTGCTTTTTGATATGATTTTCTTGCCTGCGTGTTGGCCGGAGGGACTGCTGGCCCGGCCTCCCTTCCGTCCAGGCAGCCGTGCTGCAGAGACAAACCCGGTGCCAAGGGACTTGTGGAGGTGATGTGGCAGCAACAGGGCAGCATGGAGGGCTTGGCTCACATGGAAGCCTCAGGACGTGCCCCTCTGCCTCAGGGCACCAAGTCTCAGCCCTTTGCACCGTGGGTCCCCCGTGTGTCTACCTGTGTTGGTCCCTCGTGTCCCCCCAGCCTGTTGGCCGAACCTGCTCCCAAGTCACCTACGTTCCATCTGACCAGGCCTGCATCCCAGAGTGGTAAGGGGATACTGGGGCTTGGTGGGAATCCTTCCTCTGGGCAAGCCCCAAAGGGCCTTTTTAGGTTCCCATTTACGCTGCTTCTCCGTCCTAGGTGTGCTGTGGGCTGTAGCTGGCCTGGACTCCAAGGCTTGGCCCTGCCTGGCCTCCTGTGCCAATACTGTGACTTAGAGACAATGTTACTGTTGGGGCCACGCTCCACCCCTCCCCTGAGCTGCTCTCCCCTGTGCCAGTGTGCTGGAGAGCAGAGGCCAGGCCCAGGCTCGTCTGGGGCACCCCGAACCTCAGTTGGCTCCACCCAGCCACCCTGGACATAGCTGTGCTCCTCCCACACATCCCAGGCCCATTGCCTGCCCAGGTATCTGGGCCTGGACACCAACCATATTCTTCATGCATTGATTTTATTTGGCGCCTGGGGCAGCAGGGCTGTCATCTTTCTTTTCCTGGCTGGTAGCAACTGAGGGCTCCCTTTACAGCAAACCCTTACTCCAGTTCCAGGATGAGGAGTGGTCACGCTTGTCTGAGAACGGTCAGGGGCTGGCTTGGTGCCTGACTAAGACCAAGGGGCTGGTGCAGGAGCAGCAGAGATGGCTGCATAAGCCAGAAATGCCTTAAACTGCAGCGTTCCTACCTGTCCTGTCTCCCATAGGCCCCAGCCTCCATCCCCGGTCCAGTCTTCCTGGGAGCTAAACCAGAGAAAGCTGGGGTTAGGGGGTTGGTGCAGAGGCTGGAGGGAGCCGCATGGCGTCACGTTACTAACTCCAGTCTGTGTCTGTGTCCATCACCCACTGTGAAATAAAGTCTGAAAACCTTCTAAGGAGTGCTGTGTCTGTCCTCACCAAACACAGGATCCCCAGCCAGGTGGCTCTTTGCTTGGCTTCATGATGGGGCACAGGCTCTATGCTCCCTTGGATGCCCAGGATGGAGGAAGAAGACCCTGCACTGGGCACCTTCTGGCTGAGGATCCCCCATATGATGAATGGCACACTCACACTGTAGTGTACTGGTGGGGGGCATGGAGACTGCACTCCAGCTGGAAAGTGGCAAAGCTGTGACAGGCCCTGTAGGCAGGTCCTCCTGTGTGTGTGTGTGTGTGTGTGTGTGTGTACCCAGCTACATCTGTGACAGCACAGAACTGTGTAAGGGGAGTTAGCTAAGCTGCACTGAGGGTAGGCAGGTCTGGGAACGTAGAGCCAAGATGAGTGGGCAGTGGGAGGAAACGTAGAAACCAGGGCAGGGGGTTGCAAGTGGTTTTTTCTTTTTCTTCCTTAATTTTTCTTTCAAGAGATTTTTGTATTGGGCGTGTGCCCCACTAGAGAGACAGAGAGATAGAGATAATGAGAAATAACACACACACACACACACTTACACACCCCAGGGGGGATGGCCATGTCACAGTCCCTTCTCCAGTCTCCTCCTGGGATTTTGGGCACACATGCACACGCGCCTCGCATGAGTTTCAAGCCACCGGGTCCAGGACTCGAACTTCAGCCCACCACATGGGAGTCCAGTGCCTTAACCTCTACACCACCGGCTGGTCTATGCAGGTGGCCCTTTCCACTAGCCCAGCTATACAGGGTCAAGCATTGGTACTGGTGGAAGACTAGCAAGTACCAACAAGGGATTGTGCTCTCGAATCCTCACTGACTTGCCCTCTCTCACACGCACATGCACACAACACGCACGATTAATATATAGGCAGAAACTTACACAGGTAATAATGTCCTAGGCCTTGATAGCAACAGTGATCCTCCCATGAGGCACAAGGAAGAAGAGGGCCATTGGCCAGCCAGTGGTCCCCTCCTTCAAATCTTTACTAAAGACAACTAAATATGCTTTTCTGAGTTTGTGTTCATGATGGAAAAAAATGTAAAAAAAAAAAACGAGGGGCCAGTAGATGGCGTAATGGTTATGTAGCTGGGCGCCCACATGGCCAACCGGTTCGAGTCCTGGACCCTGAGGCTTGAAACTCATGCTAGGTATATGTGTGTGCATGCCCCAAATCCTGAGAGAATGGAGAAGGGATTGCAGCATGGCCTTCCTCCACCCCCGGGTGTGTGTGTGTATGTTATTTCTCACTTTCCCTCTCACTGCTTCTCTCCAGTGAGTGCAGTTTTGCCCTATGGCAAAAATCTCTTTAAAAAAAATGAAAACACCCATTAGCTCAGCACCCAGGTGGCCCCATTTGCCCATGGACATTCACTTACTTTTTGTTAAAGGTTTTTACCATAGGGCAAAACTGCACTCACTGGAGAGAAGCAGTGAGAGGGAAAGTGAGAAATAACATACACACACACACCCGGGGGTGGAGGAAGGCCATGCTGCAATCCCTTCTCCATTCTCTCAGGATTTGGGGCATGCACACACATGCCTGGCATGATTTTCAAGTCAAAAAAAAAAAAAAGATTTTCAAGTCAACAGGTCTTCTGGGACTGGACCTGCAGTCTGCCACATGAGAGTCCAGTGCCTTAGCCATTACGCCACCTGCTAGCCCATCTTTTCTTTTTTTAAAAAGTTATTTATTATTTATCTGTTGTGATTTTCAGGCTGTCAGGTCTAGGACTTGAACTACGGTTGGCCATGTGGAAGTCTAGCACCTCAACCACTACGCCACCTGCCAGCCCCTTTTCCTTTTTAATTTGTGAGAGGGTGCTAGCAGGAGAGAGAGAGAGGGAAAGTGAGAAATCATCCCTCGGAGGGTATGGCCACACCCATTCTCCATCTCTTCTTTTGAATTTTGGTCATGCATGCACATGTGCCTGGTATGTTTTTCCAGCCACTAGGTCCTGGACTCAACTACACAGTGGGCCATGTGGGATCGAGCCGCCTTAACCACCATGCTACCAGCTGGCCTGACATTCCCTTTATTTATCCAATGACTTGCTCCAGCGGAGGAGTCCTGGCAACACAGGTGTCAGGTGCTGAGCATGGAAGAGGGGAGTGGCCATAGACAGTGCCAGCACAGACAACCCACTGTGGTCATGGCAGTGCTGGGGGATACGCAGGCAGGGGGTGCTGTTCTCGCCTTGGGCTTCAGGAAGAACTGACGCTCAAACCTAGAAAGATCAGAAACAGCATGTGCAAGTGTTCTGTGGCTGGGTGGCGGGGGCTCTGGGAAGAACAAGGAAATGTAGGAGTAGCCAGAGGTCAGGTACAGGATGGAGAGGCCATTAGTCAGGGCAGTAGGCCTAGACAGAGATGATTAGGGTTGATCCTATGGGGCATACGGGCCAAAGACTTTTTTCTTTCTTTCTTTCTTTTTTTTTCTTTTCTTTTTGTGGAGAGGTTTTTGCTACAGGGCGCATGTGCTCGCCAGAAAGACAGAGAGAGACAGAGAGATAGTCCCCGCCCCAAGGGGAATTGCCACACCATAATCCCTTCTTTCCCATTCTCCTCTTGGGATTTGGGGCACATACATGGCATGAAGTTTTAAGCTGTCAGGTCCAGGACTCGAACCTCAGTTGACAATGTGGGAGTCCAGCAACGTAACCATTATGCCATCTGCTTGTCCCCTTTTTTTTCCTTTTAATCGCCAGAGGGTGTATGCTCATGGAGAGACAGGACAGATAGAAAGAATGAGAGAAAACAACCCCCAGTGGGGCACGGTTGTGCCACAATCATCTCCAAATCTCCAGCCTGTTGGGTTTGGGGGCACATATGCACACTTTTTTTTTTTTATTATTCTTTCTTTTTTAAAGAGTTATTTAATTATAGTTATTATTATTATAATTTTAAGATTTGGCCAGAGAGAAAGAAAGATGGAAAGTGAGAAAGTAAGCCTCCAGGATCAGAACCATGGTTTTTGCCCATGTGGGAGCCCGGCACCTTAACCACTGCACCATCTGCCAGCCCTCGCTGTGTTTTATTCAAGCTACGGGCACTGGGATTCAAACTGCACTGTCAGCCATGTGGGATTCAGTTCCTTTAACCAGCTGAGCCACAAGGCCAGTCTGTAGACTAAGCTTTCGCAGCAGCCTTTATGGCAAGAATGCCTGTTGGGACAGGCTCATGAGTGAGGCCTGCAACCTCTCCTGGTAGGGCACATGGGCAGATGGACAGGTGAGAGGGTTTTGGGTAGAAGGGACAGGTCTGTGCTAGGCTGGTCAAAGGTGGAGGGCAGAGATGAGGCACAGGAGCGCCTGGGTGAGGCGACACCCTGATGTACCTGCGGGAACTTAACTTGGAGTCCCTGCATGGATTCCAAGAGTCTGTGGGTGTGGGTTACCAGACAAAGGGAAAGCTGGGTTAGGCCAGGGACACAGGGGAGCAGGTGTGTCAAGGAAGAGAAGGTGGGATAGGCAGGAAGGGAGAGGCTGAGGGTGCAGACCCTGAGAATTCAGAGGTGGCCTGAAGGGTGATGTGGCCTTCAGAGATCTGGGGAAGACTTGAGCATTGATGATTCTCCTTTCAGTGGTGGTGGGCGGGAACTGGGGATCAGAGGCTGGAAGCAGTTTGGAGCAATACTCCTGGAGTTACGTCCTTGGATGGTTGCTAGCAGCGCTCCTGAAGGGAGAGGTCTTGATGCCATGAGCCCACGTGAGGAAGAGC